CAGGGAAGCCGCCGCCGCAGGCAGAGCCGCGCCCACGCCGGTGTGCAGCGCGCCACGTGGAGGGGCCGCGTTCCCTCTCAGCTGAGCGAGTGTGAGCCGGTTGACAGTTTGTTAGCCTCTGGCTCACACATTTCCCTCTTACCTCAGGGAGGGATGGGGCTCCGGAGCAAACTAACTGATGCAGTAGCCCGATGGCTCCCTCACCACTTTGAAGGCCAGCAGCTCAGAGAGTACAGTTTCTGCTCACGAGGAGACTCCACCGCTCAGAGGAAGGAGCCTTGGTCCTGACCAGTGTTCCCTCTCAGCCGAGCTCGCGTGAGCCAGCTCACACTCTTTTAGCCTCCGGCTCACACACTTCCCTCTTACCTCAGGAAGGGATGGGGCTCCGGAGCAAACTAACGGATGCAGTAGCCCCATCGCTCGCTCACAACTTTAATGCCAGCAGCTCACAGAGTACAGTTTCTGCTCACGAGGAGACTCCACCGCTCAGAGGAGGGAGCCTTGGTCCTGACCAGTGTTCCCTCTCAGCCGAGTTCGTGTGAGCCGGCTCACAGTCTTTTAGCTTCCGGCTCACAGTCTTTTAGCCTCCGGCTCACACACTTCCCTCTTACCTCAGGGAGGGATGGGGCTCCGGAGCAAACTCACTGACGCAGCAGCCAAATCACTCGCTCACACCTTTGGAGGCCAGCAGCTCACAGAGTACAGTTTCTGCTCACGAGGAGACTCCACCGCTCAGAGGGAGCCTTGGTCCTGACCACTGTTCCCTCTCAGCCGAGTTAGTGTGAGCCAGCTCCCACTCTTTTAGCCTCCGGCTCACACATTTCCCTCTTACCTCAGGGAGGGATGGGGCTCCAGGGCAAACTCACTGATGCAGCAGCCAAACTGCTCGCTCACCACTTTCATGCCAGGAGCTCACCAAGGAGAATTTTTGCTCACAAGACTCCACAGCTTAGAGGGAGCCTTGGCTCGGGCGGCAGCTTGCGGGAAGACGCCCCCCCGCCCCGGGGGGCCTCTTGCCTTTGGCGGGGAGGGGGCTTGGAAGCAGGCCTGGAGGAGAAGGGCAGACCCCAGACGAGGGAAGGAGACCTGCGCGCCGGACTCGCAGGGACGTCGGGAGCTGCCTCAGGACTCTGGCCAGGACTGCCCTTGAAGGGGGCCCGCCCCCCCCCCCGTCCTTGCCTCTCTGCTCGCCCGGCGTGGGCGCCCAAGAACCAGTCTCCAGGTGGGGCCGGGAGCTCTCCCGGAAGGGCATCTGGGTCTCCAGGTGACAGGGGGTCACTCCCCCGGGAGAAGATGGCTCTAGGGCACTGGAGGCCCCTCCCCAAACCCCACACTCCCCCAGGCGGCACCCCCAGCGTCTCCAGACAGGGTCGCCGCCCTCCACCAAAGGCCTGGCAGAACATGCCTGCCTCTCGGGCCCTGCAGGATGGCACTGGGTCCCTCAGGGGACGGAGGTCACTCAGCAGGGAGTCCACCAGGTTGGGGCCAGGACACTAAACGCTTCTGGGGCACCACCGGTGTCATTCATACCCTGTCTTTCTCTGCACGGGGACCTGGAGTGGCTCCCGTCATTCTCCTCGCCTTCCTTTTATCCTCAGGGCAGCCTTTGAGGTAGGTCAGGCTGAGGGCATGTGACTGCCCCAAGGTCACCCGGCAGGCTTCCGTGGCATGAGTGGGGAGTTGAACCTGGGTCCCCCAGGTACTCGTCCAACATGCTTAACCACTCCCCAACACTGGCTCCTGCACACACCAGCTTCTGCGTCCAGCTCGGGGGGGGGGGGGTGGGACTAGAGAATGACCGGGCAGAGTGACCGGCTGGCTGGCCCTGTGGGCTGGAGGAGCCAGAGAGGGAGGGAGAGGAATGCCCATCAGACGCATGAACATTGTGCACTGTTACACTTCGACAGTCAGGAACGGGCTGCAGTTTGCAGAGTCCAAAGGAGCAGGACTCGACGGGGATTAGGCCAAATCCGAGGCCATTGGAGTGGAAAGGAGATTAAACGTGAAGCCACAAATTGGATTAGCTGGAGGTGTCGTTCATTGAAAATGTACAAGATGGCTTTCTGACAGGACCTTAAGCCCAGGGGGGTCTTTGGGCAGTGGCTGTGGTTTCACGTAAGCGTGGCTGGTTGCTTGTGATAAACTGGGCTCGCCACTAGGTGACTGGGGGGGGGGGATGCTTCTGCTTCGTAGAACAAAACCGACTCTTCTTTCTGTTGTTTTGACATAAATGATGGGATAGGGCAGCCAATCACAAATTTTAGCAACCCAAAGACCCCCCCTTTTGATTTAAAATTGTCACAGAACTGTCCCTTGCTGGCACAAAGCATACCAGACGACCCATTTCCATAGCACACGGGGCAACCTGCGTATGTCCTATGGAAGCGGCTGTCCTCTGATATCTTCCAAGCAATACAGTGAAAGCCTCATCAACTACATTTTTTTTAAAAAGTTTGAGACAAACATTTGCACTGTTGGCAGCACACAAGCTTACCAGGTCCCCGAGGGTCACTGGTTCTAGAGGGCCACCACTCCAAAGGCCATGAGCCAAGTCCTAATCAAGCTGAGTCCTTAATTGGAAGGAACTTTGCACCACAGACAGCAAGGAAATTCCTTCTTGGGTAATATATTCTGGTCCAAGGCTGGCCTGAACAGGGTGGAAACATTCTTCAGAGCTGCTGACAGAAATGTGAAAAGCACCAGCATCTCTCAAATCGTCCCTCCAGCCTGTCAGACAGACAGACTGCCCCTTTGAGGCTGGAGGGGTGATTCTCTGTTCTGTGATGAAGGAATGAAATAGCTTTCTAGAAGGACACTGTCTTGAAATGAATGAGATTCACGTCCAGGTGTTTGAACTGAAGTGCCTGTTTCTAAAGCAAAGCACAGAACATGCTACAGACATTTGTTCTTGTGCTTTTTAAAGGATATTAATCTTTCATGTTACAGGATATACCTCTACTTATTTTAATTCTCTGAGGGGGCCAGTCTCTTCCTAGATTTCTATTCCTTGTCTGATGTTTTATCTGTGCTCACCCCCTCCTGAAGTTCTTGAACTGGTGCCATAGCATTGGCCCCCTAGAATTGAGAAGCTGTTCATTCTTGCGTTGTTTCTGCAAGGAAAATATTTGGGATTTCTTCCTGTCTAAATGTTGTCAGATATTTATGATTTTTTAAATCTTACATAATGATCGTTTATTAAGATAATTTCATTTCAAAAATTTATAAAACAAGATGTGCTGATAATCATAGGTGAGTAGAACACAAAAGTAGGGAACGAAACAGAATCCAGTGTTATTCGAAGGTTTGGGCTAGGAGTACAAAATGAAGCAGGAGAATGACTCATAGAATTCTGTGAAGACAACAATTTCTTCATTGCAAACACAGGTTTCAATCAACCAAATAGATGATTGTGTAAGTAGATGTCACCAGATATGTGGATGTCACCAGAAATCAAATAGATTATGTAGATGGAAGCAGAAGATGGAGGAGCTCTATTCTCTCTGCTAAAACAAGACCAGGAGCCTATTGTGGTACAGACCATGAATTGTTAATATCAAAAATTTAGAATACAGCTAAAAACACCAGAAAAATATTCATAGTTAGAATAACACCAAAACATTCATAGTACCAAAATACAATCAAAACAACACTCCTGAAGAGTTTAAAGGCCATCAGGCGAACTATGGGTTGAAACCAGAGATATCATCAAGGAAGAATGCACAAAGACTATTCCTGTAGCCAAAGAAAAGGGGGGGGGGAGCCTTAGTGGATTTATTTATTTATTTATTACTTTGATTCATATCACACCCTCCCTGCAAGCGGGCTCTGGGCAAGTCACAACAATAAATTCCAATAGAGTCTAAAATGATTCAATTAATAAATATCAGTTATTAATTTAATACAATAAAACCAGTTAAAACCAGTTAAAGTAGGCAGTGCAGCAAGTTTCAATTTCAGTTCCTGAATGGCCCAAAGCTGAGCCACAAAGGTCTCGTTCATAGTAGCCTACTGCCACAGTAACAGGGAGGCCAGCTGGTAGACGCCTGCTGGCACAACCGAAG